TCGAAACCCAAGCCACAGTGCTGTCTTGGATAGTCCCGAGGAAAGAAAAAAGAACAAGAAAGAGGAAGTGGGAAGGAGGAGGCGGAGGCGGGTGGCGATGGTGTTAATATCAGTCGTGGCTGCCCGCCCAGGCTGTGGGACCAGGTGCGGCCCCAGCGATCTAAGGATGACAGCTGCTCAAGAACCCGAGAGCCGGGAGGATGTCGGTGCCGCGTCTTCAGGGAGGGAAACAGCCCAGAGATTTGTGCACCCGGGGGCCTGGGCGAAGGTGTGTGTCGGTGGCGCGGGGGAAGGGTCCGAGGAGTCGACCCTGGTAAGAGAGGGAGCTGGCGTGCACTCCGGGGAGGATCTGCGGTCGGACCCGAGGAGGCTGGCCCCCGGGGCGGCGAGGCGGCGCAGCTGGAGCGCCGGGAGCTCGGGCGGGCGCTGGCGAGCGCTCTGCTGGGAAGAGCGCGCCGACCGGCTTACTGGAAACGCGCTGGATCAGGTTCCAGATCAATGAAATCTGGGTCCACACGTTTACGTGACTGTTGCCAGCATTAATGCTCTTTTAATCTTCTAAACATTATCAGCATCGATCTCCCTCCATATACACATTTGTTTGTGAAAGTGACATAACCACACGGTGGGAAGCCTGAAGGAGACAGAAGTGCGCCCGCCTCTCGCGTGCGCGTGTGCGAGGCGCCCGGTGGTGCGGGATACTTCTCACACGCTTGGCTTCACCCCCTCTCCTCGCGTCGCGCCTCCTCGGCCCACTCCTACCCACCCTACTGGGTATTCAGGAGACGGCCTTCCGGACCCGGACTCGACGGTCGGGAGCTTTTCCATGATTAATCCCGATCAGCCAGAAGGCGGACGTATCCCCTCTTTTCGGCACGGATGTGGGCTGCGTTTAGCCTTTTGGGCCCACCCAGATCTTGAACTAAACTTCGGGTACAGGTGGGTTGGGCAGAGAGCCCAAGAAGTAGGAGATGGAGGCTGGGTGGGAAAGAGGGAGTGACTGAGAAGGAAGGAGCCGCGTGGTTTTGGAGTCGGCAACCTGCTTTAGCCACACGCATGCATGTCCTGCGCCTCGGGAGATAGACATGCGCTTCTGAGACCCTGGCGGGAGCCGCGATGCACACGACCACCCCGGCTGTAGACGCTACAACTACCCCGGCATTAAGCACTATGGCGACTAACTTCCCCAGCCTTGGGCACCACCTACACGTGCCCTACGGTGGCTGTGCTAGGCCGGACAAGGCACATCCTGGGTTGGTTACCGCCCTTTGGCCATCTGAACTGAGTTAGCTGGAAATCGGTGGTGGTTCTCGGCTGCTTGGAACTACTGTACTGTCTGGGGATGGTGGATCTGCCCACAGAGGGAGTCAGGAGGCAGACTAAGGGCCGGCCACCAGGGAAGTGGGACTCACAGGAGATAGAAACCTAGGCAGGGACGGCAATCTAAGACCTGCTCTTTTCCACTGTTAGGAAAAAATTACGAATCTCCAGCCAGAGAGCATCCCTCCCCCCCCCCCCCACGCCTTCTACGATTAGGCACAGGTTCAGTTCTTGACTAAGTTCTCAGAGTCCCTCTTGTGTGTGTTTATGCATTACCGAAGGCCCTACTGCTCAAAGCTTGATTGTTTGCGTGCTCAAACCCAAGGTAACTGGCCCTTATTGTTTCTTTCCGAGGCAAGTAAAAGCAGACCTGTGGGTCTAGCCTGGGGACTCCTGAGTAGAACCCGCTGGGTGGGGCACCTACTTGCTGCTCATCAACTTTACCCAAGGAGAGTGGGATTCCTTTCTCTGATGTCTAAGATGTGGGCAATCTGATTTCCCCCGGCATCTCTCCCCTCCCCTCCCTCTTTCACGTCCTCACCTGGATCTGACCAGGCCTGGACCTGGCAGAGGGGGAGCCTGGGAGCAAGTGAGGGGCAGAAAGGTCTTGTCTTCCTGGTGATGGATAATTCTTGGCCCAAGGGTGAGGTGTGCTGGCGGCCAAATCAGGCTTCTTGCCAGGGGGGCCAAGGGGGCTGCTAAGGCCTCTGCAGAACTCAGTGGGACCCAAATGGGAACAAAGGGGAGGGAGGAGGGAGAAGAGTGAGAAAGTTAGAGGAGAAACCCGGAGGGAAAGGAGTAGGAGAGAGGGTGGGAGTGGTTGCCCCCACCCGGCGGTTAGGGTTGACAGTCCAGTGGAATCACCCTTTGGAGTAGCTGGGTTGTTTAACTAGTGGGACTCAAAAGGCACAAGTCCTCCACGTCCTCCACCGGGATTCCAATCAATACTCTTGGCCAGAGAAGGCCTCCCTTTTCGTCTCCATTTTTCCCCTCCTGTCTCTTAGCGCTTCAGATCACATAATACCTGCTTACTAGTCCCAGCTTCTACATGTCTGAAGAGACTGATCTACTGACCCCAAACTGAAAAGCCTCCTATGTAATAATAACCACTCAACACACTTGTAGTTGCAGATAAAATGGCCAGATAAAAAGGCTAAAGCTCTTGTTCCTTTTCAAACTAGGGCAATAAAACAGACGCACATCTGAATGCTTGAGCAGAGCCCTGTCCTCTAAGGCACTTCTAGCTGGGAGAGGAGGCACTCACACTCCTGCTGGGAGGCTTCGGTGGCCAGCAGGCCAGAGTCCCAGGCTTGCCCCTGAGGGGTCATCCCTGGAGGTCCCAGAGAGGGCCAGGCACTCTTCACCATCCCAGCCAGACGGGGGGCCATAGCCAAAAAAACAGAAGGATGCTGATTGGTGACCATTGCTTCCATGTAGTTTTCAGATCTACACAGGCGGAAGGCCAAGAGTTTTCAAAAAGCTGTGTCCTTTGCAGGGTAGGCTTGAGCGCTCTAAGAGGGGCTGGAGTAGAATAGTTTGTCACTGTGTCTTTTAGCTGTACCCCAGAGCAGCTGCCAAGGTCCTGCTGGCCTGAAGTGTTCCAGGAAGGCAGCCCGTGTGGGAGCCCTTCTGAGAGGGTCCCGCCTCGTTTAGGGGGATGTGACACAAAGGCGCTTTAATAATGGAAGCTGTCATTAAGCCTCCAGCTTATTCCTCACCTGCACTCTCTCTTCTCACTGCTTTATCTTTGCTAGGAACCAACAGGGGAAGGGGGGGGGGGTTGTAAGAGCGGATTAAGAGTAAACTAAAGAAGAAAAGAAGATAGACTTCTAAGTCCACTCAAACGTATCCTGAGCCCACCGGTTTGGGAAAGCTCTTTGGAGGCGAAGCTTGTTTCCTTTGCCTTTTTAGATCATCATCCCCAGAGCCAGTTACCGAATGGACACTGAAGTCAACAGGACTTCAGGAAGGGGGTGTTGGAGGGGAAACGCCCACTCCCTAAAACCTGAGTGAACGCACTGCCTGTCATAGTTCCCAGTCCTGTGGGGAGTCTATAGAGTACACCCCAGGAGCCGGGTTCAGCGCGGTGTGTGTGTGTGTGTGTGTGTGTTGGGGGGGTACTGGGGGGGTGTCCTGGGAATCGGCAGTGGGAACTTGAGCTAGCGGCTTCCGGAAGCGCTCTGGGCACCGCCGAGGTTCGGAATCCGCTGCGTCCCGATACCCGCGCGCTATGCAAATCAATGCCACCAAGAAGGACTCTTCTAATGCCGAAATCGCCGTGTCCGAGACGCTCTCTCTCCCTTGCCCAATGAAGAAGAGTCTCCCATCCTGACTAGCACTGGGGTATTGTGTGTCCCTCCCCGTGGTGGGGGGGGGTCTGGACACTTTGCCCCCCCACCGGGCTCCGTGCTGTGAGCAAAGCAGGCACCTCGCGCGCCGCGCGGGGTCTGCACGCACAAAAGCGCTCCAGTGCGTGCCAATCGCAGCCACCGCAGCCCGGTTCGCTCAGGCTCCGGCACCCGCCGCCCAAAGGAGGCTTCTCCGTGCTCCTAGAACAATAGAGGGTTGTACCTCGCGGCTCGGCCGCTAGAGGAGGCACAAAGAGCCGAGCCCGCTCCAGAACAATGTAACCCGTGCGTCGACCCGTCCCCTCCCGCCCGGTGATCCCTCCCGCCCGCCGCCCGCCGGCTCTCCCCGCCGAGTACGGTCGCCGTCCGCTTCGAGCAAAGGCGGAGCTTTACCGCCCGCGCTCGAGACGCAGGAACGAACCTGCATCTTCATTTCTCAGCACCAATTCCAACGAGTTCCCCAATCCTCTCCCGAGTCCCGGCCAACCTAGGCCAGTCCCCAGCGACCGCTCGGGAAGCCTGCCGAGGGGCGCGGGGGGCGGGGGGCGAGCGCCCTCCACCCGGTCTCCCTTCTCCTCTCGCCCTAAGCGGCGAATGTAGCAAGTCCCCAGCCTTGGTCCCCGCACCCCCGCTCCCCTTTCAACGCGCAGCGGCGGTGGAGCTGTCCAGGCGCATCTCTTTCCGTGAAGCTCGATCGGAAAGTCCCGGCGTCACCACCGACGCCGGAGGTGGCTCCGGAAGCGGTGTTTGCACCCCGAGCGCCGGTTCCTGGCAGGGGCAAGGCTGTGCCTCCTAGCCAAAGACCGAATAAGTTTGCCTGCCAGAGCGGCTAAGAGGAACGGAGAGCGCGTTTCTCTCTCTCTTTTTTTTTCCTTTTCTCCTTCCAAGGAGGAAAAAAAAAAAAAACAACCCAAAACAACCAAAGCTCTTCAAGTGTCTCCATCTAGGGAGACCAAGCAGCCTGGAAAACCGAATGGGGTTATCAAAGAGTTCAAGTGCACACGGTTTTGAGTAAAGAGCAGTTCCCGAGTTCTACACTGCCGGGGGGCGGGGGGGGAGGAAAGGGAGGGCAAAGGTTGGCACACGAGCGTAGGGCGCATGGAGTGGGGGGCGACCGTCTCCACGAAAGCTAAGGGGCAAAGAGAAAGGAAAAGAAGAATTTTTTTTTTAAGAGAGAAAGAAGAGGGAGACGAGAAGGAGGAAATGGAAGCATGGGGGAAGTGTGCAGGAGGTAGAAGAGAACTAAACGCCGCCTCTCCGGCAAAGGCTGGGTTCGGGGTCGCCCCCCTCTCCCCTCTTCCCCCCCAAGCAGCCCGGACTCGGGAGGCTTACCTGCCAGGCGTAAGGCGGACATGCGCTGGAACTCCGGCTCTTGCAACCACTTCCACATCCTGCGAAAGGTCTCCCTGCCGGATTTGAGTTTACTCCAGGGTTTGGGATTCCGGAGCAGGTCGGAGAGAGTCCCCTGAGAGCGGCACAGCACCCTCTGGGCGAAGATGGCCTGGGGGATGCTGTAGCGTTTCAGCTCGGCCGTGATCCGCTGGGCCACCTCTTTGGTGTTGATCTCCTCCAGCTGGCCCGACGTGGCCACCTGCGAGCCGGACGAGGACGACGGGGGCCGCTCGCGGCTGGGAGCCAGCACCGGCCCGTGGGACTGAGCGTGGCCCGGGTGGTGCAGGCCGTTGAGATGCGACATCATGGCCGCGGGCGGGGTGCCCAGGCCTCGGGACAGGTGCTGCTCACCTCGGGTCAGCATGGCAGTTTGGTGCGCGTCGAAGTTGGGGCTGAGCATCTTGTCGTGGCCCGGCGGGCCGTAGTTGGGCAGGCTCTGCTGCGCGTTGTGGAGGCCGCCCAGCCCGTTGCCCAGCGGCGTGGCGGCCAGCGGGGACAGGCTCTGGCTCATGCCGGGCATCTCCTTGTAAGGGCTGTAAAGGTTGTTCATGGCCGGGAGCCCGCGCTCGTCGCGCATGAGGGTGAAGCTGCCGCTGACGTTGCCCGACAGGCGCTGGTGGTGGTGGTGGTGGTGGTGGTGATGCGGGTGGTGGTGCGGGTGCGGGTGGTGGAACTTGTCGGAGACCGTGGAGATGGGGGGCAGCGGCTGGAGCGGCGTCAGCGTCGTGTAGGTGTTGCTCATGCCCATGCCGGGCGGGGACGAGTCGCAGGACATGCTCATGGCGTGGTGCAGTGGGATGGAGAGCTCGGGCCGGTAGTCGCTGCCGTCCAGGATGGAGGCCATGCTGGTGACCATGGCCGAGCGCGACGCCGCGGCCGCCG